TTTAGTAACAAGGAAAACATATACAAAAGGTACTGCTTAATTGTAACACAAATTTGTTCCTGCAGAATACAGGAGACAATAATTATGTATTTAAAAATCCTTTTTTCCTATATCTATGTCTAACAGCAACCTGCAACCTAAACTCGACGCTACAGAGAGTTTTGTCAATACGCAGTGGAATTACTGCAGTAGTTTCTATACATAGCTTTAAAGAAAAGCCGATCTTGGAACATAAATACCTAAAGTCCACATTCGGATGAAGTATGATTTTGAATTCTGGTTAAAATTCAGCTTTGATAACGTAACAGCTTAGATAATTCAAACGGTTAATCAGGTTCTTGTAACGATATTGTGTCAAATTTACACACGGACGACAATTTTACATGAATCACATAAACAAATAACGATTTTAGATTGTTAGCGATATTAGAAAAAAGGATTTTCGAAGAACCATTACGCTTACAGAAAGATAATTATCACGATCAAATTTTTTTTTTGTATACTGTGGCTTCAGAGTTCCTGTTTTCAAACCTAGAAGAGGTAGCGCAGTGCGGCAAAACCTGTTGTAATATTGACCAATGGAAGACGAGCTCGTAGGTTTATACACGAATCAGAAAAGAGTATTTTTTGCAATGGAAAGGTGAAATTTTTGGTAAGCTTACGTAGAAAGAAGCGCAGAATTTTCATTTGCGTATTTTAAAACCGGCATGGCCTTGATGTAATTTTAATAGTTACCTTAGTAAAATTATCAAAGTCAAATTTACTGTAAACTTCAAGGACATATAGAGTAGACAACACCTCCCTCTGAAGTCCCTATTAATTTACATTATATTTTGTTTTATATTTTTGCCATGTATACAAGTAATTACTTTACCACGATATTGAAGACAATTTTGTAATCGTAAGTTGCAGTATAACTTTTTTGTCTTGTTTTTTGCCGTTTATTTGTCGTTGTTCAAAAGGGTGATATCATCCACTCTATGTGGTGGTGTAATTACCTAGAGCAGCTATAGCAATTTACGTGTGTATTTTTATAATGTTTTTTCTTATGATATTATGTCCATAACTGTTGCAGTGCCACTCAGAGCTTTAAATAGCAAAGATCTAAGGGTTGTATTCTAGAACTCTACTCAATGCTCAAGTCAGGATTTGAGTATGATTTTAAAGTACTCGAAATCATACTCAAGTCCCTGCCATTAGGGTCGTATTTCCAGTGCTTGAAATCATGCTCAGATCCTGACTTGAGCATTGAGTAGAGTTCTGGAATACGACCCTGAGAGGCAATGCCAGTGCGCCCGTCACCCTGAGACATAAGTTGACAAGTCCTATGTGACTGTAATTTCACCAGCACCCTTACTTCAAAATAGGAACACAGTAATGCTGACATTACTGCTTGGCGGCAGAAATAGGTAAGGTGGCAGTACTTCTGGTACCTGGTCGAACTCTTTCACAAGGAGCTCTACTGCTACTAAAATTGGTTAGGGAGTATTTTATAACAATTGTACCTTTTTATACATAATTTTATTATTTGTTACAGCATTACCTTCTGCATTCTCATTTCTCTAAGGCACTTTTATACATCAATTAATGAATGAATACAACTGTCACATATGATATTTGTTCTTTTTTCTGGTAGCTGTAAAGTTACCTAACTGTCATAGATTTCTCATAGATGGCGCTAAACGACGGTCTTGCAAACCGAATACAAAGATCCGACAACAAGCACCTCCGTCTGCTGGTTCGTTCCGTGGCTTAGTTGGCATAACGTCTGGCACGGTTTGCTAGAAGACGTCGGTTCGAATCCGACCGGATCGAAGGGATTTTTTTCTGAGTGTTCGTATTTTGTATTAATAATTATAACAAATACTTACTATCTTCTAAAATCAGTGCATTATGTTCCACGTTAATACTGATATAGAATAGGTACGGTATATGTGTATCGTGCTTCTGGTCGCATATCTGAAAAAACCCCTCAAAGAAACAACAATTCGCACCCTTGGTCTAATAAGGCTACATCTGCAAAACGTCAATTTTTGAAGAGAGAATTTACAGATTCTGCTAACGAAATTACTCGGTGGCTTTTTATGCTTAAAAAGGAGTGTTGTAAAATATCACATTAAGCTACCAATTAAATTATTTCCTCTAGTTTGTTATAATTATTAATACAAAAATCGAACACCCAGAAAAAATTCCTTCGATCTGGCCGGATTGGAACCGACCAACACCCACTAATGTATATACGTGTTTTTAGTTCATAATTTTTTTTAAGAAAAAACCCATGATGTAGAATCTAATTGATATATATCACAAAATATGAAGTTAAAAACAAATATTGTTCACAAAATAAATTCAAAGAAAAATAGTTTTTTTTATCTGTTACCTTTCTGTTGCGACTTATTTTTTCGCTTTAGACGCTATCAGTAATCACCAAATTATTAGTTATACATTTTCCAATGACCTTCATACCATTCCTCAAGCCTTTTTAGACCCTAAAGAAATCTCTTTTTCAGTTTATTACATTGGCCCCCAAGATTCGAAGAGAAACTAGAGAATAGGGAATAGAAAAAATTGATTTTTATCGACATTCAACATTCCATCTTTTTTGTATATGCGTGTTACAAATTAATTGCCAAGGGCGCCACATTTTTGACTCTGTGATTACTCTGATTACCCAAAACGCCTTTTACGGTAACCTTCAGTGACGTTGATGATAATTATGACAACAATAATGTCCTAGCTAACCATGGGTACCAGTGACCACACACAGGAGCAACGAAATTCACTCTAAACACCCAGAAACCCCAAACCATAGCCAATCTAGAAAAGTTACTTCTCCAAATTGGTCCTACCGATAATGGAACCATCTCATCCAGCACCCACAGTGCAAGCCGTTGCGCCACCGAGGTCATCTTGCAATCGTTGTGGTAATTACTGCGTCCACGCTACAGTATCGATTGATTGCAAAAGGCATGAATGTTCTATTTCTAATCTGCCAGGACAAAAGAGTAGCATATCATGATACGCAAAACAGTTACGGAATCCAAGACATATCTTAATATGTAAATACGTCCAAAAAATAGGAAATACGCATTTCGTAATTTTTCGGATACTTTTATTCCTTGCGACTTGATGATGTATGTACGTACCTATTGTCGACATACGTAACAAACTCGGTTTGGTTTAATTTTGTACTCGCATCGATGACTTTTTAACCGACTTCAAAAAAGGAACAGGTTCTCAATTCGACTGTATTTTTTATGTATGTTATTTATGTACCGATTTTGATGATTTTTCGGTGTTGGAAAGAGGATATCTCAGTATTGGTCCCATTTAAATGTGAAGAAAATATTCCACCTCTAAAGGTGGCAAACTAAGGGATGAATCCGGTTTCGCGCACTTTCCAGTAACCGTTTTCCACTTTCCAGTAACCGTTTTCGATAAAGCTTAGCAAATAAGTAGATGTAATTCCACGAACTTTTAGAGGTCGTTTTTTTTAATTGAAGTATTCATTTTGTAATATTATTAATTATTAATTACGCTCTAAGATAATTTATCACAAAGATACTAATATCAAATTAATAGATTTCGTCAATTACGTTACCTTTTATTAATTACGCGTAATTTCAAAATAATTAAAAATTATATCGGCTGGTACCTCAAAAACTAGACGTGACGGGAAGAAAAGACATTTAACTACATACGTACAGTACTATAGGTAATCTATTACAGGTATCCGTTTTACGGTTACCGATTTTTTTTGATAAAATTTACTTCGCCTTGCTTTTCTATAGCCTCGCTCCATATGTGACAGGCATACACAAGAAGATCCACAGTAGATCGCCCTCGTCGGAACTTTTTTGGCACAGTTTGCACGTTTGCAAGCTTCCACGACCTGAGAACTACACCAGTCTCAAGTGAGAGGCGGTATAGACGTGTGAGAACACGAGATAACTCAGGAGCAAAGTTACGCAGGACTATTGCTGGAATTCCATATGGCCCGGTAGCTTTAAGTACCTCTTCCTCTAGTTCTAAGTACCTCTTTTTGGCGTACGCGAACTGGCGCCATAGTGCAGCCAGCCTGAGGTAAATTAGGTGGTAGGCTCCCTGCGGCGCAAGACGCGAACTCTATGCAAAGAGTGAGGCAAAGAGATTCGCCTTCTGAAGAGAAGGCGAATCTCTTTGCCTGCGGAAGCGCAGTATGAGCCAGCGAGCCGTCCGGCCTCAGCAGAGGTGGCAAAGATGGGCCACAAAGGCTAGATTCGAACGCTTTGGCCAGGGACCAAAAGTATTTGCTGCCTGCTGGATAAGAGGCAAGCTTGGCCCCTATGCGGCGCATATGGTCGAACTTGGCCCTACGTAACACGCTTTAACACTTCTTGGCGGCCTTATTAAAAGCTTTCTTCAAATTCCGTGTACTCGGAGCTTTGCGTAGTCAAGCAACTGCCCAAGCTTGGTACGCGGACTGTTTATGTGCTTCAGCACAACTACAATCAGTGTTAAACCATGGACGAGCTTGGAGTCCATTAGGTACATCAGAGTATATACCCAAACATAAGACCTCGACTACAGCATCAGCACAGCTCGACGAGTCTCCTGAAGTAAAGCACGCCTGCCAAGGATATGCCGCAAAGAAATAGCGCATTTCGTCCCAATCTGCTAACTTGTATCGCCACACTCTCAATACTCTCAACAAAACTCTTAGTAATATATTTCAAAAAGATATTCTAAATCAGATGTGTGCACATTTTTATAGTAACAACTTAATGTGTCCTAAACAATTTGGTTTCACTCGGGGTCGCTCTACAACCGATGTTGGTGGTGAGTTGATGAATCATATATTTGATGCATGGGAAGTCTCACATGATGCTATTGGTGTACTCGGTGACCTTTCTAAGGCTTTTGATTGTGTGCACCATGATACACTGGTCAGAAAACTTCGCCACTATGGTGTGGCGGGACATGACCTCGAGCTTCTTAAATCGTATTTGCGTGGTAGGGTACAGAGGGTCGATGTTAACGGTACGAGATCATCAGGGTCTGCAATTAGCATGGGTGTCCCTCAAGGTTCAATTTTAGGCCAATTTTTGTTTTTAGTTTATATTAATGGCTTACCTAGCCTCATGGAGGGAATAAAACGTGAGATAGTATTGTTTGCTGATGATACTTCCTTATTATTTAAAGTTAAAAGGCACCAATGTTCCTACGACGATGTGAACAATGCTATATCTAAAGTAGTTGATTGGTTTGCTGTTAATAACCTACTCCTTAATGAGAAAAAACAAATTGTGTGAAATTTACTTTACCCAGTGTCAGAGAGATGGTTACAAACATTGTAGTTAGAAATGAAAAATTGAATCTTGTGGACACAGTTATCTTTCTAGGTATAACGTTAGATGCTCAATTGCCATGGGGTCTCCATATAAGTAAGTTATCAAAACGACTCGGCTCTGCAATGTACGCAATTAAAAAATACGGAAACTTTCAGACGTCGAAACCGCTAGACTGGTTTACTTCAGCTACTTTCACAGTCTTATGACATACGGCATGTTGCTTTGGCGTAATGCCGCCGATATCAATAGAATCTTTGTCCTGCAGAAACGTGCGGTTAGGGCAATTGGGCCCCAGAATATCTTTGAGAGATGAATTTAAGGAAATTAACATTCTTCCACTAGCCTCACAGTACATTTATGAAAATGTAATTTATGTTAAGAGGAATAGTAATTTCTTTAAGAAAAATAGTGACAGACCTAACATTAATACGAGGAATAAATATAAACTAGCTGTTCTTGATAGTCGTCTTCACAAAGTCAAAAAATCATTCAAGGGGCATTGTATACGCTTTTATAACAAGATTCCGGTTGATACACAAAATTTGCCTTTCACGAGGCTTAAAACTATAGTGAAACAAAAACTTTATACTAAAGGTTATTATTTTTTAATTTAATTATACAACTTCTGCGTACTTGGATGACAAAAATCCGTGGTAGTAACCCGTTTAGCTCATGGAGGTAGTCTCGATCTCTGATGGTTCAAAACAAAAAACAATATATTGTAAATGTTGAATGTGCACAAATGTTATTTACAAAGAGCAACCCCTAGAGTTGCTCATTCTTCTCAGGGGAATCTGCCTTACGAATGAGCGGTAGAGTATAACCATTGTGACGATTTCAAGTGTAATAATGCTTACCTATGAAATAAAGATTATTTTGAATTTTGAATTTTTGACCCGTCTTATACCACTAGGGCCCTCATCGGGTGGGAAGTACACGGAAACAGTTTTCACCAGACAATGATCGGAAATACCCAGTGGAGTACCTCCACAACCACAGAGTAGTATTTAGTGTCACGTAGTGTTATTATTAAATCAGATTTATCAAAATGTCTCAATGTAACTAATTGTAGAACACTGAACAAGATTTCTATGTTTTAATAAGTTTTTCTTTCGTTTCCTCCATAAATTAGAATCACATGTCAGTTAACTAAACTTACTTACTTAGTTTTTGGGATTCTTCGATTATAATTTCAGTGTTAAAATGCATATTTATATGATATATACTTATTTTTTTCATAAGGATCAGGAGAAAATTATTATTATTATTATCGTCCATTTCACGCCTCTGCACCGGCAAGTGTCACATCACATTGTCTCAAAAAAATATTTAAAACTGTTTTAAAAATTGTGAAAATATTTACATTTTTAAATAATAATTGTTATTATGCTACTTCTAGAATACGAGCATCGCTTGAACAACAATAACACTTTTAGTTACACCTTGCAGAGAAATCATCTAAACAGAGATGCGATGATATAATTTAAGCAAGTACTTCCATTTTGATTTTACTAATGAGACGTAAAATGAAACTTTCAATTATTATACACATATTATACTCTATCAGTGACGATGTGACCTCCTTTCGTCATCCTACCTTTTCTCCGGTTCCTGTCTGGCCTTTTTGAAGTTTTGAATCGTTCTTTAATTTCCTTTGCCTCGCCATGGCCTCGCCATTTTGATTTTGTTTCGTTCCATCGCCACTCCCAGCTCGATCGCGGCAGTGAACAGTACCCACTGCTCTAATTTCATTTGCGTCTAATTTTGATTCTGTTACCAGTTTCAATACCAATCTGTAATAGCTACTACTAATCATGTGCCAATTTTAATACCAATCTGTAATACCGTATAACTCAGCCCTTTTGGGGTAAGTGTCTGGACTGTTTATGTTAATCGGCAGTAAGGGAGTGTTTTATACTGTTGTACCTGTTGTTATATACGTTTTCTTGTCTTGTTACTGCCTTTTCTTCACCTTAAACTTATATTTACACAATAAATTTCTATGGACCTGAAGTTTCTTACTTTATTGCCGTAATCTTGGTCACAGTGCATTGTGGTTTACAACCTTTTCACCTCTACACTCGCTTACGGCTTTGAGCAGATGAATCAAGCCGACAGTCTAATACAGATAGCCCTGTAGAATCTGATAACTTAAAATAAGAGATTATGTATGAATGAAATTCACCTAGATTTTTTCATAATTCATAATGTAACTTCCTCGTCTTTACCTACGACTTACGAAGCGCGCGCGCGCGTGTGTGTGTGTGTGTGAGTGTGTGTATGTCCGAGCCGGTTTCGTCTACATTGTTTAGAATTAGAGCTACGGTTGTTTGCTCTTTCATGTGCCCTTGGATGGCTACAGTAGCCAATCTTATTGATAAATGTTCGCAAACAGTGGCGACACGCAAGGACACCGTCAAGAAAGTAATAAAAGATGGCCGCAGGTGTCTTAGCCTTTTGAAAGCGTCACGTTTCGCGTCCAGGTCTGGCAGTTTCTGCTCCTCAAATTTTGTCACCTGAGCTTTCACAGAATACCTCCACCCAGAACGGCAAGTCGACTGCATCTCCACCTCGAGGGGTCAATGTTGTAACTTTTCATGTGTCTTTTCAGAACATACTTCTATCTCAAGAACTGGTCGCGTGTTGCTTCCGCTTGCCTTTCTGGAGTTCAGAAAAGATTCAAACATGCGAGGGACGTGTCTACATCAACCTAGCTGACGCCGTATTAGACATCCTTCAATGCCGAAAACATTCGTCCGCTGAAGCACATCGGTGATTCTTACCCGATCCGACCACTTAATGTTGAGAATGTCTCGCAGGCACTTAATTCCTAGTATATGTAACTTCCCCGTCTTTACATACGACCTACGAACGCACTTGTAACGGAATGTAATATCTGCTTTTAATTTTTTTTTTACTTCTACTATTAGGAATGAAAAAACCAATCGAGTCAACGGGACAACAGGACCCTGGACGTTACGGCATTAGTAAAAAGACTAAAAAACTACAATGTGACTGGGTAGGCCCCCTGATGATAATATAACTCGAGAGGTGGGCTGGAATTCGTAAAGGTAGATAGAGAAATAGAGGAGGTAGAGGTAGAGAACCCAAACGATGTCGTGATTTTGATTTCGAAACATATCTCAAAAGTATCTAGTACTTCATCGTGAACCATGAAAAACTTAGGGGGACGCCTTACCCACTTATTAAATATTTTTATTAAACGAAATAACAAATGCAGTCGACACTACTTTTATATTTCCAACAAATTTCAAAATCAAAACTTTTTATAAAATATTATAATCCATTAGTAAGTGATGTATTTTAGTTTTAAAACATGTTTTTCATTATAGGAAATGAAACTATTTTTCCGGATTTAAATCGCGTATATTTGTTTGTTTGAAAAAACAAATATACGCGATTTAAATTCGGAAAAATAGTTTCATTTCCTATGTGTAACAATCGCGAAAACCTAAGAACTCGATATGTTTTTTATTAATACACATTGAAAGTAAGCATTTGAGTCTTAGAGGACGGAAAAAAATAAGATTTGAGTACACACTGACATTTTATCAGACACTATTCCTTGAATCTTCCTTGAACCATAGAAAATTATTTTAGGATTGTCTTAGATTGCTCTGTAGCCAGGCCTTATAATTAATAATTTAAAAAACTAAAATTTGACATTCAATTTTGACAGATCAGTATTTTGACAAATGCTTTGACTTGCTTTCAATTACATGATTTTTTCGCCAAGTATGATTCAGTCGTAATTATTTGTGCTATAGTTTCCAAACTAATTAACTTGTCACAGTGTGTTAGTTACAAAAATATTGTTCTAGTACACCGCGGATAAGGGAAGATTTTGATTCTGGCCGGTAAATAGTATTTTTTCTTTGTCCGTGCATTTTTATTTGCAAAAATTTCGTTCATATTTTGTTGTTTGTCATATTAGAACATGTTGTTGGGTACTACCAAGGTCGTGTTTCTTCATGTGTCTGTTAATTGAGTTTGTTGTTGTGGTAGACGGGCCGTACTGATGACCTGAACACAGGACGGCCTGGCCACAAGAAATTGCCTGAACGGCTATTGCAAAGTTGCAAACCTCTGTTTATCAAACCATTAGTTATCACTTGCAAAACATACTTCCGAAAGGATATAGGTCCAACGGACATAAAGCTCTGATATATATTATCTCTTATGATGGCTATCAATAAATGGGGCTGTGTATATCACTGCACATTCAATCATATGCTGTCCCATTTCACTGCACATGTTTGAAATGTTATGTAGTTTAATTATACAAGTAAGCTGTAGTGTAACATTAGTGTTGATTCAGGCAAATGCACACTAAAGTTAATTTCACTTAGTCTGTTCAGATTTAATTTCTGCTTAAAACTATCAATAGAACACTTATTCTCATTCACAGCTATTTAATAATGTGCTCGTAATGCCATGTGCAGCTTAAAATTTTGAAATAGTTTATTATTATTATGGTTTCCTTTTCTCATTTTTCAACTGGTTTTTATTACATTTACAGACGGAAATGAATTATATTTACATTGAGGGTAATACACCCTCAACACACATGACAAGAGCCTATTTAATTTTCTATATGTGTGAAATTTCCACCTGGCATGTGTATAAAATTACAAATGTATTATTATTATTAAAACGTCTTCATTCATGCCACACAGCCCTTAACCATTGCAACCATGGAGGGCCTTTGGACATTGACTAATTTGAAAGTGTTAAACTAAAACAAATATATTTTATCTTTTGCTTACTTATAACCGAAGAGACAGATGTACAGAAATTAAATTTAGTTGGGGTAACAAAATATGCATTAATAAAACTTGTATTAAATACAGCTTATTCTCCTTGTTGGAATTTATAAGTAACAACTGAAATTGTTATTTATGGAATTTGCTCAGGGTATATCACAATTTCAAGACATGATATACTGAATTTACTACAGTTTGAGGTCATAATTAAGTACATAAATAATTGACTACATACGTAACTTCTTCTTCATGTCACTTATGCTCTGGCCACGTAGAAGCGCCAGATAGCGCCACACACAGAAGCGGCCGTGTATTTTTGTAATGTACGAAAAAAAATCCCGCACCCATTACGCTCCCGCGGCCGCTTCTGTATAGCATGAGCATTATAGTCTAAGTCACTTATTATTTTAAATCAATGTCAGTCATCTTATCAGGAGAAACTGAAATCATCATCAGTGATCGGGATTGTGGGAGTAAATTTAGCTAAACTAAAGAATAACGTGGATATTCTTGGATATCTTTCTTTATCTACAAGTCACGGGACTTTTCAGAACTGATTAAATTTTAATATGCATATAATTTATTGAAATTTGAGTACACTGGCGACAAATGATCCTATTAACGATTTGCTACAAATTATTGTCTCAAAAAATCATATTGTAAATGAGGTTCTATAGGTATTTACGTATTTAAATACTTTAGCCATTTAAAAAATAAACATAAGACAACCTATATTTTCTTACAAAATACACAGTAAAAAAAGAAATTTTATGTTTAGGCTTGCCTAATGTGGGGACTGAGGTAATCAAAAAATTGTTGCTGTCAAATAAACTTTTTATTATTGTTGTTATTATTTTTTATTATTTTTATTCATGTGCATTGTTGACTAAATGGGTATATTCATACTAAGAAAACGTTCATACTTTAGGTAACTCCGTCATTTCCCATCGCTGATCATCATATAATAATCACATCAAAAAATGGTTTGTGATGAAATAATATATATATATATTATAGCTTGTATAAACTTGTGTCATTGCTAATGAATTATAAAAAGCTGCATAAGAATAAATGAAATCTGCCCTGCTACTCATATGTACCACTATTATTTTATTTATTGTAAATTTATACACTGATATATATTTAATTATTGTTTAAAACTTCAATTAATTTATTTATATGATGAGGCAAAATCAAAAAGAATAAGAATAAGTTTAACCTCCTCCTCCAATACCGATGTTGGCAACGTACTTGATATTGAAGGTAAATATTAAGCAATACATTATCATCCCATAAAAAGACAATGTTTTGTGATGACTGCATAATATAACTTGTATAAACTTGTATTATTACTTTGCCTAAATGCAAATCTGGGGTATTTTGTTACTGTGGAGCAATTAAAAATTCACAACCAATCTTGTTTAGCCACGTTAGAGGATGTGGCCTAAGAAATTATGTTTCCTTTCAATGTTCTGTTATCCTGTAATTTTATAGTCTTAATTATCTCTTAGTGACAATTACCCTAGTTGTCCTTACTTATGTAAAACAACTGAAAATGATGTCCTTGCTTTGAAACAAACTAGACGTAAAACATTTCCACTTCCCACTTATGAACTATTGTTTATTTCTTTTCTTTTTTAACCTTATACTACTGTCTACTTTGTTTTGACTTTAACAGCCAAAGGTAAAATAGCAGTTTTTAGCAGGTGGTTAGGCATTTAATTTTTATGCCTTTCCAAATATAATGAATGTAGCATAAACAATATTATGTCACTCATTGTTACATCAAGCAGTTTCCAAAACAATATTAAACAATATTAATGAAAAACCAAGTACAAAGACATGACACAAGCACATAGAAAAATTCGTGAGGTCCGTTGGTTCGTTCCGTGGCTTAGTTGGTATATCGTCTAGCACGGTATGCAAGAAGACGTCGGTTCGAATCCGCCCGGATCGAAGGATTTTTTTCCTTAGTGTTCGATCTTTGTATTAATAATTATAACAAACTAGTGGAGTAATTTCACAAAAAATAATTGAATATCAATTCAATAAAGATTTAATTAATATTAATGAAACTTAACTAAGGAACTCATCTTTTAATGACTAGTAATGAATGTAGGTATGGAAAATCGATCGTAAAGATTAGAGAACTACCTAATACTGAAGGTTACTTTGACGACCTCGGTAGCTTAACGTAGACGCTGGATAGCTTCTGCGTTAAATTTTCGGTAGGACCAATTGCTGATATGAACTTTTCTAAATTGGTTCTGGTCTTGGTGTTCTGAGGTCTCTGATACTCGCAGTACAGGGAATTCCCTAGTCTGAGACCAGGTTGTATGGTTTTCTGTCTGTTATTATTGTTAAAAGTATTTTTGTAATTAATTACCATTTAATAAAGATTATATAGAGGTATTCGTTCTTGTGAGATTGGGTGTTTCTACAGTTTAGGAATCATTGCGCAAAAGTTTTACAAAGTTGAAAACTAAATTTTTATTGATTTTTGAAAATAGTATGGGATTGAGGATGTACCCTAACACGAGAGAAATGAAAGGCACAGATATAAAATCAATAATGACGACGACATTTGGTTTTTAAAAATATGTCTAGGTATGGTAATGAAGAATGAACATGGAAATGATTTTTTTATGATAAGGTAGTGAAATATAAGGGTACTGTAATGATATGCATGCATATAAAAAAAGAAAATTGTGTCAAACATTTTTTTATTATTTTGTCATTCCAACTCATAATGATAAATAGAAAATTTAAACTTAAACGTAAAAACTGAAATTTAAACTTAAAATTGTGACAAAACTTTAACATAAGTATCACCTCCAAAGTACCACATATCTTCATCAGGAACTTTAGTTGCTAATTGTTATTAATTGAGTCTCTGGGTTACTGCAAGCAGTCTCCATTTTTCTAAGACATTAAATGTAATGTATATATGAGCGTGCGTGTGTTCATGTACGTTTGTGCGTACGTGTATGTATAATGTGTAAATTCTATTACTAGTAACAGTATAATAATTAACATTTTCTTTGCTAATAGCTATTTTTTAGTAAACAACCTTGTATTATTAACTAAATCAACAAAACAAAATATTTTTTTTCTACAACCCAAAATTATGATAAAAAAGTGGAAAAAAATAGCTTACTTAAAAGTTTCATATTTTTTAAAGTTCATCATTCATTACTATTCAAACACAAATTTTAATAATCTATTTCTTTTTCTTTCCATTTTCTCTTTACCCTTACCTTTTCCTTTTATTTTTACCCTTATTAGTATCGTCATGGTTTTCGTTTTCTTTTTTTGGTTAGTTTAACTTCTACTTCTTACTACTCTAATCATGAAAGAATTTATACCAACATTTCAAAATTACCGTCTCTTTTTTGTGTTAAACTGCCTTGCGATCTTTCTTCTATAATTTTTTCCAACTATTTGATTTTCAGTGTTTCTTGATACTTGTATATTATTTTTGGTATATGTAGAAAGTCTTCAACTTCTTATTCTCTTTTTCCACATCTCTTATAACAATTTTCAGTAGTTTTACCTTTTTGTCTCGGTATCTCAGTCATTTTATTTTTTGCTGGTAACTTTCTTTTTAATATCACAATTTTGTAAACTGTATAGAGTAGAACAGGCTCCGGTAATGAATTCTTAAGTAGTTTTTTACAGATATTTTTTTAATTCTCGTGAAAACATGAACTAAGTTGTTGCTACACTTAGAACAAGTAGATGGTTATAAGTTAATATTGTTAAAATCAGTTAATAGTCTATTTTAAATTTTTACTCCCTTGGAGCAACGTCCATATTTGTCATTGTATATTCACCCGATTGTGTTAAGAAAATTGAATGTTTACTAGTCATTAGTGAAACAAATATTGTTATTAGATATCGCGGTTTTTTTTAAAACTTTGAGTTTAAAAAAGAATCTTTGATTGTAATCTGGTGAAATAAGATATTATTCTTAAATAAAATATTCTTTCTTCTTACAATTGTGTAAAAAAAATTATATTTCATCTCAAAATTGTAGTAAAGATGTCGGAACCCTATTGACCGAGATGGAGCGATGGGTAGATCCAGTAGACTTTGGGGAGAGGGAATAATGATAAACAAAAATAATCGCCAGTATTTTTGTGAAAAAAAAAGCCGTATTGTTATAATATAAGGCCGTGGGTTCGATTCCGGGCTCGCACTCAGAGCTCCTCGTAAGTGCGACATTTAATTTCAAAATTTTCCATGAGTTTTTTAGTGAAGCAAACCATCGTGATGAAACCTGCACGTCGAAGAAGGTTCCTCGGAAAACATGTGAAGACCCCAACCTGCATTGGGCCAGCAAGGCCCATTAAGGTCTCGCCTGAGAGGTGACCTGTGCCTAGGAATAGGACGTATAAATGGGTTGATGATGATGATTTTTGTCCTCAGGTCCAAAAACAATGGTACCTCATCCGCCTACAGCGACCACTGTAGGGGCGCATGAGAGGTAAAGAGCCGCGTGTGATGCGATCAGGATGCTGGGGGTACGTGCTCCGTGCCTCGTGGCGTACGTCGCGGGCCTGCTGGCTATCGCGCGCGGCAGCATTATCGTCTACACAGAGGAGGTGCCACATACTGTGAGTTTTAGTCAAGGTCTTATAGACCTTATACGTTGATATGTAACTGATCAGAGTTGATACTACCTCAGCACAAATTCAAATTTTTCCCGTACTAATTCGCTTCATTTTGCTTGGGTCGAACGGAGGCTTCATTTCAGAATTTATTTTTTTACAATCGAAATGAAATCCATTTGAAAAATATATATCGTATAGTATACCTTGTGAGAAAAAATCTTTGGTAAAAAAGTTTGTGAACATTTTTAGGAATCGTATTTTCACACCGTATTAGTGTATAACCTCAATTTTACCATATAATTTTTCCAAAGTGTCCAAATTCAACAATTTCACTGTTATGCGGAATCAACCGAAGCCAAATTTTCTGAGATATTGGATATTAATATAAAGAGTTACTTGTAAAATACTCACAACCCCTCAGGAGTATATTACTAACATCATTAACAACTACTTTAGTTCCAGGAGTTTTTGCAAAACATAGTAAATTACCAAAAATAAGTGTTTCTAGAGACACTTTTTACATCTGTTATTGGTAGTAAATTCAAACATGCTAGCGTCCTATCCGTTCACACCCATCCCCGCTCCTACGTTTTGCACCGGACTGGTATTTGGCCAGCGCTTTCTTTTGTAATCGCACAGAGTTATCACTGTGTAGAGCGATCTATTTAAGTGTTCTTATTTTTGTGGAACAAAACAATTGTTGTTTGTGTTAACAACAGCAACATCTTGTACCGTTGTACCGTATTTAGCTTCACAATATATCTATAGAGAAACAGAAAAACCGCCCAAATATACAGGGCGTCTGGTAATAAATGGATAAGCTTGAAATGTCTAACAGCATAGTGTATGACTGTTAAAAAGTTATGATTTTATGTTCTTTTTTTTCTTTAAAGCGATTTTTTTTTATAGTTGTCGAACTATTATTTGCACCGACTCGCCTTATCGCTTCATCTTTAGAGTACGATAGGACAAAAGAGTGAGCCTGCGCGGTAACGCACATGCCATCTGTATAGTGCAGAGGTCGGCAACCTGCGGCTCTTTCGATGTGAAGTTGCGGCTCTTTAGTTCAATACGGAAGGGTTCTCTTGCATGAATATAATAAAAGGTAAAGTAAGAACTACTCAACTGACAAAATAATTAAAATCTAGAGTCGTGTTTGATATTTAAAACCACTAGTTATGAGCCAAATTTGTCCAAACTTTCAAAAGGCATTGCAAAGCCAATGCTCCCATTGATTTACTACTCAATTCTGTAAGTATATTATTTAATTATTTTGATTTTGTAGTTAAATACTTTAATTTATTGTGAAAAATATACTATGTATGAATAAACAGGTATTATTTATTCTTATTTTCAAGTTTTTTATTTTAAATCAAAATCAAATACCTTTATGTAAGTATGTACTATAATATTGAAAAGAAAAATTTTAGTAGCTCTTTAAAGACTGAAATTTTGTAAATTGTAATTTTTGTCTCTTCCAACTCAAAAGGTCGCCGAACCCTGGTATAGTGCAAACAAATACTTTAAACGCTTTTACGTAATGGCACTTAATTCTAAACTTGGTAATCTATATGCGGAACTAATTTATTGAGTTAGTAAGAAAAGAGTCGGCGGTCGGTACTCAACAAAATACCTAGTAGTTAAAAAAAGACCTGAGTAAATAAATAATTCAAAAAAACATTTAACGCACCCATGACTCATACGATGGACCGATGGATAAGTAAGTCCATGTACGTTTTATGTAATAGAAATGTTAATGGTTTTATTACACTATTGCAATAGAAAGGATAAGTCGTTCCAAGACATTCATCATTTCATTGTGGTCGTCGAGGTGTACAAAAATCTAAAATAAGGTAAAAAATAATTCGCTTTAAAGAAAAAGAGCCATATCTTAGGTACTACTTGGGATATATTTTTTGTATATTTTTTTAACAGTCATAAGCTATGCTATTAAGCATTTCAAGCTTACCATTAATTACCGGACACCCTGTATTTTTTTTTGTATATTTCGAAAACAAACTAAAACCTGCAAAATTCTTTTGTGCTATTCTTATTGACATTACAAGATTTAATTGACTAAGTAAATGAGTAGGTAGTACGATTTTAGTAATTGTGTCCTATACCTTCAGGAAAAAATTTTTTTTAAAGAAATAAGCAGTACGTTTTCTTTGGTTTTCCTTTTCCTTTTGTTAAATGTTGAATTGTGTGGGCCCTGTACAATAAACGAGTAAGTCAAGTAGATCTTACATTAAACTATACAAGTTACTACCAGTTAATATTGTCTAAACTTGTATAAATGATCTGGTTATAAAGTAATAAAACGACAATAGCTTAATATAAATAAATGCGCTCACTTCCGTTCGTTTTCTCACTCCTTTTACATCCCCATACAGTCCATATCGTCCACTATATTTTGATCCTTCGAGCCGATACTTATATGAAAATCAATACAATACATGACACACACAATCAAAACATCAATAATGAAAAACAACAAAAGAGTATTAAAAAACCGACTTCAAAAGTTCGTGGAACTACATCTATTTTGCCAAGTTTTATAGAAATCGGTTACCGGAAAGTACGCGAAACCGGGTTCATCGCCTAGTTTGCCCTTAAAGGTGGAACATTTTCTTCAAATTTAAATAGGACCAATAGTGAGGTGTCCTCTTTCCAACAAAAAAGAATCATCAAAATCGGTTCACAAATGCCGGTCAAAAGTCATCGCGAACATACAATACAAAAAAAAATACAGCCGAACTTAGAACCTCCTCCTTTTTTGAAGTCAGTTAAAAAACGAGGAGTTCACGACATATACAGGATCAAGAGCACGTCAAGCTTGACACTTCAGACTTAAATCCAATTCTATGCCGCTTACGATAAGAACGATCCAAAGTACAAAGTGTCAAGCTTGACGTGCTCTTGACTGTACCTACATATTTGTGTAAGTTAACAATTAAGTATAAAACATTCACTCTAGATACTTTTACGTAATAATGATGAGGTGGAAATGATCTTTTTTTTTCGGATCGAAATCACGTTTTTTTTTCTAACAAACCACGTTCGGACCGGTTACAGTTCCCATGGTGAGCCGAGCCCGAAATGTTGGTTTGATGAGACCTGTCAAGGCCCGAAACATTGGTTAGAGAAAAAATCATACGCGACTTAGGTCTGAAAACATAGTTTCATTTCCAATGTATAACAAACGCGAACTCTAAATATGATGTACGAGTTAGAAAATAATATCTAGTTGTTTTTTCCCATTTGTTTTCAATAAATGCAAACTGAGTTTACAGAACAGGCACAATTATGATGATACTTCTGACTCATAGAGTTACCAGCACATGCAGTGATATATTATTTGACTTGTTCCATTTAATACGCCCGTTAAATTAAATGACGGATAGGTCGGCTGCACTGGAAACTACAATATGAATTCTTATATCACATACGACCTTCGTTAGGATTTTCTTGAAAATTATGTTATAATAACATACTTTCCTTATATCGCACCATTAATAATGAAATTATAGAATTCGTAGAGTAATTTTTTTGGGAAACTGACAATATTTTAAAACCACAACGTAGCTTTAATTAAGCCCCTTGTGAAAGAGTTCGCTCGGTGAAGTACGGCCACCTTAGGAATGTGAGCATTACTATGTTCCGGTTTATAACTGTAAGGGTGCTGGTGAAATTACAGGCACATGTGCCTAGTCGAATATGGCTCCAGGAGACGGATGCAGTGACACTGCCCCTCAGATTTTTGCGATTTAAAACTCTCAGTGGCACTGCAACTGTCGTGGTTAGGCGTGTCGCTTTGTTCTAGGCACACGACTTGTTCGTCATACACATTCATTGACGTAATACCGCAAATAACAAAGTGATTATAATTAAAAACAAATTGAGAAACTGTACAAATAGATTTGAATAAAGTAACATAACATATAAAACGAATATCGTCGGCGATAGTGCAAATCCGCGTATATAGTATAGGTAAATGGCATTTTTTGCACAGTAAGCATTGATTTATGTTATCTCCGGACTCATAACAATAGATTTCTGTAAATCACGCTAATTTGTGAACCACGACATTTACGCGGAGCTGGGGGGCTACTCTCGATCTCCGTCCGACATCCTTCTGAAACAATTACTCAAATATGTAATATTCGACAAAATTAAAAGACAAGTTATCAGTATGAAGCTTCATTCGCATCATGCGTCTTATCATTTGGTCAAGTATAGCTTATTTGGCAGTAATTGTTTCGGACGGATGGCGGATGGAGATCGAGAGTAGACCCCCTGATTTGGCCACTAAATTACCGGAATGGAAACTCATAATCCAATGCCACTTACGCGTAATTGCGCTATCCCCGACGATAGATCTTTTTTGTAACAAAAAGAATTTAGTCATATTTGCCATATTATCATCGTTCTCCTACTTGACAGCAAAAATAGGTAAGGTGGCAGTATTTTCTTGGACGAACTCTTTCACAAAGAGCTCTACTTCTACTTAAATAAATAATTAATAATACTCTGTTTAAATACTAACTTAAGATCTTGTTTATACAGGGTTATTTTTAACCAACCTTGTAACACTACTTGACAACCTCGGTGGCGTAGCGTTTAAGACTGCGCTAGATAAGGATCCCGGGCTCGATTCTCGATAGGACCAATTTGGAAAACAAACGAAACGAATTTCCAAATCGTTCTTCTAGTCTGGTTATTCTCGGTAGTTGCTAATTTTTAAATTTACCTTTTTCCTTACGAGGAATGAGTACATTACTATGTTCTACGCTATTATAAGAAGTGGAAACCCATATCTAATCACAACAAACAAATAATTGAACAAAACACAAAGCACGTATTTTCTTTGTCAAACAATTTTTTTGTTAGCACAGAAATAAGCAATGGAATAGGTACATATCGGCTACTTTAAACCTTAAATACTATGTAATAAGTTAAAATGTAGTTAGTCATTTTAATGTCGTAAGAATATTAGTTGTAAA